GTTAGATAAGAGAATTAAATTGCAAATATTAGAGTAAAATTAACATTAATTACACCGAACGACGCGTGATTTTGTCATGAATTCCTAACTTAATACCATTTCAACCAATATAATTTAACCTTATCTAACGCCCCGGAGCACTCGTTAGCTATATATATATATATATATATATATATATATATATATATATATATATATATATTAATACACTTTATTTTATATAATTGAATATTAATGAAAATTATTTTTAAAATTATATTATGAAACTTTATATCAAAACCTATCTAATAACATATTTTGTGATAAAAAAAATTATGGTCAAACCTAATGAATGAATAGTGAAAAAAGTTCAACGTGTCATGTATTGTGGGACGGAGGGAGTAATAAAATACAGAGTATAAATCATTCTTAAACTTTTTTTTTTCAGTCAGAAAAAAACCTTAGTGTTTTTTTTTTTAAAACTGAACTGAACTGAATTAAATTAAAATTATTTAAGATTAAAAAAAATTAGATCAATAAACTAAATTAAACGGAAAATAAGTTCGAATGAATAGAACTTAACTTAAGTAGGAGGGACTGAGGGAGACATGTAGTACGTGGAGAAGCTGATAAATATCTGAGTGGAAGAAACTTTGCAAAACTTAAATTAGAAATTTAGAGCCAGATATTTTGGACAAGTGTTCAATTATGTCCCACTCCCCATTTTTAACAACCTTTCGTTTACGCATTCACGTGTCGCGTGTTTAGAGGTTTTTGCATTGTTTATTGTTTAACTTTCTTTTTGGGCCGGCATGAGGTGTTAATTTTACTAACTAATGGAATAATTACTTTATAATCTTTAATCATTTCTTCTATAGTAGTATAAAGTCAATGTGTTTGTTTCATGATACATACATGAACGGTTTATATGCCATCTCTTTTTCATTTTTTTTTTTCAATCAACCACAATTACAATACAAATTACAAAGTACTAGTATTCCTATTATCCTATATAAACAAAGGTAAGAGGATTTGATCATGTAATGTATCGTACATAAACCCTCAATTTAACTACTAGTATACAGTAACTTTGGTACTCTCCCTGTTCTAGCTTATAATTTTTGTTTCTGTTTTTTCACGATATTTAAGAAATAGAAGGAAAAAGTAGATGGAGGACTTGTTTTCTTCAACTTATTTCGGATACCTATGACTTATTCCTTTATAAATTCAATTCAGATCAGATCAAACCAGATTAAAACTTTGGACTATCATTTACTTATTGTTAAATATCGTTAATTGCATATTTAAAAAGTTCATGATGGGACGAATCTAACAAGTTCCATTTTGATGATATTTTTCTTTATAGATTAGTATTAAAATGCGATCAAAATTTAGTCAAATTATTAAATCAGATCAAACGAGACCAAATCAGAAAAATTCGGATCAGACCACAAACCTTAAAAAATTCAGACGAGATCTACTTGTTTCAGGTGAAGAGAACAATTCTGGAGTACATTAAAAAAAGCAAAAAAAAAGGTGAAAAGTACAATTATAGACAAAAGTTAGAGGGAGAACGTGAAAAAAAAAAGTACAAGGTAAGTGGAAAATTCAAGGTAGTGTAGGAAATCGATAAATAAAGTTTTAAAAAAATAAGGGTATAAAGGTTTTTACGTACTATCCAAAATCGAAATAGAAACAACATTTTAAATCTCCATAGAAAAACAAGAACTATAATATGGGCCTAAAGGAGTATGTATTTATTTTTTTGCATGCATTCTAACTAGTTTGAATGACTAAAGGGACTAAAGTTTGATTCTCTTTACACAAAGAATGTCTTATTTATATGGATGTAATAAACTATCTTATTATGTTATTTTTATTTTTATTTAATTTTATTTTATTTTTACAAAAAAATAGTTTATTCAATTTAACAGTTAGGGAGTTAAAGGAATAAATGGAATCTAATTTTACTCTATTTGGCTATGTATGGTAATTAGTGGGTATCTAGTTGCTAAGTGCTGATTTAATTAACTAGTTACATTAGAATGTTGACTACATTAAAGAATCTTATGAAAATGTGTTGGTAAAATTGGCTTATACTTGTAGCTTGTAGTTGTTTTATTGTTACTTAAACATATTATAAATACTCCACCCTAGCTCTATATGAAATGACCAAATCAATGGATTTATGAACTCAATTAGGGATGGCAATGGGGCAGGTTGAATGCGGATTATGGCACCTCCATACCCATACCCGCCTAAAAATCTTATACCCATTCCCGCCCCATCACCCGTGGCGGGTACAATATCTACATCCATACCCGTCCCACCAGGTACAATATAGGATCCATCTCCGCCCCATCATCCACTTGGATATTCATACTCACCTCATACCTGCCCCAAAATCATCCCAAACCCATTGCCATAATACTCTATTGTATCACATTAATGACAATTATATCAAATTAGGTTAAGAAAATTAGGACTTTCACTATTCAAGCTTATTGAGTCTTAGGGGGTATCAAGTTTCATAAATTCTAAATTCTTCTAAAAGAAATATGGTGCGGATATAAGGTGGGTACGGGGCGGGGCGTATATGGGGCGGGTCTACTCTAAAATCCATACCCACCCCATCACCCATGGCGGGTACACATTTTATACCCATCCCCGCCCCATTACCTGCCAAACCTCCCTCCATCCCCGTCCACTTGAACGGGAATGGGGCTGGTCTCCCATTTAACCCGACCCACTGCCATCCCTAAACTCAATTCTCTAAATTAATCAAATCATCCGACCTTTTTGTCATAACTCTATCTATTAACCAAACAAATCTATCAATGCAATTAAAATTGCATTGGAATAGGGTTAAATCCTATCAACCTTTACTATGATTTGATTAGAACATGATTCCAATTGGACAAAAAAAACAGCAACATATTTTCTTTCTCTTCCCCCTCTCCTGAAACAAGTTGTTTGGTATTTCATAGTCAATTGTATTATTTTCTCTATTACAACAATTCAAAAAACAGCACATTAAGAATATATAGCTTCCTTTCTTAACAAAAAAAAAAACTATATGAGCTCTTAAATTTGAATCATTTAAATGAAATATTTTGATTTTCTTTGAATAATCAATTAATGGAAAATGTTGTCATCTTCAAAGACAGTGATTGTTGCAAAAGACTGTACCAAACTCTTTTTGTTTCTTAAATTAGGCTATGAAGAAGTAAAGAAAGTACACAAGTAGGTATATAACAATGATAATACAATTAAGGACCATCACTTAACATGTTAAAATGCTTTTTAAACAGCCTAAAGGCACTACTATAAAATTGGCTAAAGAGACCCGTCTGATTAGCCAAAGAGACTGCTTCATTAGAGGCGGGCTAATTTAGAACATGATTATGATATAAGATTAGAAAAAACCATAGTGTTTCTCAAAACAAAAAAAAAAACAAAAAAAAAAAAAAAAAAATTAAAAAAAAAAAACCGTAGTGACAAACATTATATTCTTGATGAATGGGTGAAGATGTGTAAGGCCCTTTAAGCCAATATCTTTGTAAAGTTAGAACAACCATACGTATAAGGTGTGATTTGCCTAAACAAAAAAAAAAAGAGCCTGCAAGGCTACAAGATCTCGTAATTAAGTCAAACGAGTATCACATCAAAAGAGGTAAACATCTCAATGATAAGTTTGTTAGCCTTATTTTAGATTCTTCTAAAAAGTTATCTTGGATGCATAGACTAAATCTTTAATTAATAATAATGTGTTTAATAACAAAGAATAAGATTCTAAATAAAATCAAAACCATTAGAAAAACCATTCCAAACTACCAACAGAAATTTGAAGCTCAAAGGTGTTTGCATTGCAATATTTACGTAGTATTAGTTTACCATTAATATGGGAGCAAAAGAACAAAAAGAAAAAAAAAAACATAAATGAAAAAAATCATTCTAACAATGAAATTTTTATTACTATAGCAAATTTGGTTAATATTGGGTATTGGACGTATGAACTTATAAAAGCGGCTTTTGTGATTTTCTCTACGTTTCCTCTCTATCATGAAGGATAGTAAACAGTGAACAATGTCCCTCTATTAGCCTCTTATATATTTGTAATTTTATGTTGACTACAAAGATTTAGAAAGGATAATGTAAGCAAATACAATCTCAAACCCTAGAAATTTTATATATACTTTGTCTCTCACCGTCCCTAATATTTTACCCCATTTGACTATTTGCGGTTTACCAAGACACGTGTTAAGATGATTTTATCTCCATTTTCATACATGTAAAATTATTAAACTAAATAATAATCAAATATACAATGAGATGAATCCAACAAAATCCCGTATAACTATATCATCTCTTTTAAATTAATAATAATGATTTTTATGGTAAAAGATTTTAAAATTTGACCCAAAATTTTGGAATAAGGCAAAAAAATTAGGGATGGAGACAGTATATGTATATTCCATGTTGGTATTGTGTTTACAAGTAAAGTTTGCTCCCAACCTTGTAACTCTTACTCATTTCTAAGGGCATGTTCTCATTGACTGAACTGAACTGAACTGAATCGAATTTCAACGTAAGAGAACAGACCCTTAGTCATTTCATTTAAGATTGTGTGATTAAACCTAAAAATGACTTTTTGTGAGGTTATGCCAACAATTGTAACATTCCAAACACAAAATGTCAAAATAACATCATCATAAGTATTAATATGACATGTAATCATTAAAAGTGCTAATTAGATAAGTTAAGCACGATTTCAACTCTGTTCGACTCTTAACCTGAAAAATAAATTAACTCGAGCTCTACCAAAAAATAATAAAATCCTAGCCGGCCTCTAATAAACTCAACCAATGGTTCGGGTCTTTTTGAACGCAACTCATTAACATCTCGAGTCGAACCGTCGTGTGAAGGCGATGTAGCCTTCCATGTATAGAAGAAGCACATCGTATGTATGTATGGATGTAACAAAGCATGTATTCATACATGAGTGTGTGATTGAACGAATCTAACATGAAACTACATGCGGCCTCTAAGGCGAGAGGAAAATATCATCGCCACGTATGCAACACAAGTAGCGCACAGACCCGAAAAAGATCTCCTCTTCTTCCTCCTCCTCTCTCTCTCTCCAAATCCCAAAATCTCACAACCAAAAAAATCCCCCACTTCTTCTGCAACTCACTTTTTTTTTTTTTCCAGTAACAAAAATCAAGAATCTCTCAATCTTCTGCTTCAGATATTTTTTTTTCATCTTGAACAGGTATGAATTTTATTTTTCAGATTTTTTTTTGATTTTTTTTTATCTAATTTAATTTTTTTCGGCTAGATATTTTGCTGTTTTCTTCATTTTTATACTGAATAATAATATCAAATTATTGCTCTGATTAATTATTAATTTATAAGTTCGAGTTATTCATTTTTGGCTGTTAAATTGAGTATTACATAGATGATTGAAGTATGATTATTACTATTTTTGATTAATTATTTTTGTGATATTATGCAGAATTTTTGGGTGTGATTTGTAAAATATAGGAATCAAACGTTGAACATAGAGAAATTGATTGATAATTGAAGAAATCAGAAGGTTTGAAGCTAAAAATTGGGGTAATTGTTGTGATTTGTGAATAAGTATTTGCTGAAGAAGAAGGTATAATAGTACCTTTTCTGTTGAAATTGTAATCGAGAAAGAGAAGTAGCTCCCAACTGTAAGTATAAATTTATTTATGAAGAAACTGATTAAGTAAATTGGGAAGAACTTACTTCATTGTTCGATTGTTCGATGCTCGGTTCGGGATGCTGAATTTATGAGATTCTAATCCTTGATTGGTAACGGCCTTCGGATTGAAGTTTGTAGTTGGGTTGAAACAATAACATTATTTTTCACAGAATAAGAGAAATGGGGACGGTTGATTATATGGCGCGTCCATCGGAAAGGTGGATTGATGGCCTTCAGTTCTCCTCTTTGTTTTGGCCACCACCACAAGATACACAACAGAGGAAGGTAGTGTCACTTTGCTCTAATTTGTATTTTAGTGCTTTAAATGTCATGTTATGTAATTTGTGTTTGATTTGTATTTCGTGTAAGTGTAAGGGTGTTGGTATGTTAATTTCGATACTTGGAGTTGATTATGGGACTTCTCATCCAATGGTTTGACTAGTTCAGCTTGGATAATATGTGGATGTGGACAATGATCTTAAAGCAAACTTAGGTTGGCTAGGCTTATTAGTTTGCTACGATCAACACCATCCTGCTGATTTTTTATCTGATCAGTTTTAAACATATTGTCAGTTGGACTTTGTGGAAAAGTAGAGATCGAGGTAATTGTTCGAGCTCCTAAGAGTAAAGGGGTCATGAAGTGATTAGTTGTTTATGTTGAGGTTAAATATGTATTGTTATGGCATCTGGCTGAATTATTGAAATAACAAGAAAGTACTATGCATAAACTATTGTTGAGTTGGTCAAGCTGAGTGGAAGCTATCAGTAAGCAGATGAAGCTACTATTGCTACCATCATAGTTAGAATATATTCTTCATGCTTCCCCCTTTTTCTTCTCTCAGTTGGAATTTGCTGTAACTTTGAGAGTCAAGTAGAAATTATTGTTCCTATAGGGGCTTTATGATGACATCTTACTACAGATTCAATCTCACATGAGTTCTCTAGAAATTCTTTTGTCTATTCCCTGGAACAATGACAATCAGCTTCAAGAGTTCAAGACATCTTATTTATCATGAAATACAGAAATTATTTGCAGCATGTTGGTGGTACGGAAATGAATAAGGCAACTATTGTCCAGAATTATTCAGTCTTGGAAATGCTTCTCTACTATTTACCAACTCAGGATTTGGAATATTGTGTCTTGCTCCATCGGATTTCAGGACACTGTGAAATCTTATAGGATGGCACAGTAACCTGTTCGTGATCTCTTGCTAAACTTTTGTATTCATAGTTCCCTGGTCTGTGTCATGGTGATGCTGGTCTGCATATGAAATGTTTAGGTTTGTATATGTGATCTACAAATCTCCCAACAAGGCTTTAGCAAATGTCAGGATAATTGGCATTCCCCTGTAAGAGCAGATAACTTCAACCGTTCAGCCAAGCCTTGATGATAAGCGAACATTTCAGTATATTCTCTTCCAAGCTAGGTTCCTAATATCTTGCAAGATATCAAGAATATATGTCTTTGACTTAGTGCAGTTTCTTGAGCATTTCAGCCTCAACCTATCAAGATAATACCCCCTTAATCTCAGGTCATTAATGATATAAGATCTGCCTAGAGCTTGATTGAAAATTCAAGTGTTTGTCTCAGTAATTCCAGACTAGCGGTACTGTTGAAGCCCATGATGCTAATGTGTGGACAATGCAATCTTGGTCTGATTAGGAAAAGCCAAGGCTTAAAAGAAACTTAGATTACTATACTGTCAACTTGCTGGAGACCAATTAAGATCAAGCCTGGTCCTTTTTAATTTGCAAGCTTATTCGTTGAGCTTCTGAGCGTCCCATAGGATTGATATGAGGTTGCATCTTGACTTCATCTATAAACCCATGGCTCATGAAGAAAAGCTTTGCTGGTATCTATCTGATATATAGCCGGGGCACACAAGACTTACCCAGCATCATTCTATAGAACCTCAATCTCTTGTCATACATTTATGCTTTAACATATTCCTGGTATAATGCATAGGCAGGCCTGTAGATTCCAGGCAGCGGCATCATAGACCACTAGATCTGTGCAGATATCTGGTACTTGGAATAAATATTCCTGGTCAGAATTGCATAGCACTTACAGTCAAACTCTAATGATCTAACCCCAGCCAGTGACCCAATTAGCAGTGAGAAACCTATTCTAGATGGCTAACCATGTGATAAAAATATTTTTTTGAGCTTTATCATTTTGTTTTTTATGCTTTCTCCAGTGGACGTAAAAAACTTACTTGGCATGTCATATAGAGCATCAACAAAATATTTCCTAATTATTTTTGGTGCTATTGCTTGATTATTATGAATTATAACATTGTTGATGTTTTTAATATTTATATTCTTACCAAATTGATTTTGTCCCTTCCAACTTGACTGAATTCCTTGTTTCATTTCAGCTCTTTCAAATGCTTATCTGATTTTTTTCGTTTCCCTTTCCCCCCCTCTTAGGCTCAAATCACAGCTTACGTTGAGTATTTTGGACAATTCATATCAGAACAGTTTCCAGAAGACATTGCTGAGGTATTTTCCTGCAGCTTTTGCAGATACAAAATGATCACTAAACCCTATTTTTATATTCAATAAAATGATTCTACTCCTTTTATATGACTTTTTCTTTCAGAGCTTGCTAACCATTTTATATGCCTTTCTCTATCTATTCAGTTGATTCGTATTCGTTACCCAGCTCATGAAAAACGTCTATTTGATGATGTCCTTGGTAATAGTTTACCTTTCTATACCTTTTTATACCTTTTGGATGATGTGATTGTATTTAGAATGATTAATCTTTATTTTTTTTTGTTGAGGAAAGGCATTAACTTGTGCTTATGATGATGCCAGCTACTTTTGTCCTCCACCATCCAGAGCATGGGCATGCTGTTGTTCTTCCTATCATTTATATTATTATTGATGGGACTCTAGTATATGATAAGGATCGACCTCCATTTGCCTCTTTCATTTCTCTGTTCTGCCCAAATGACGAGGTACATGCGCCAAACTTTTTTATGAGCTTTTCTTGCATGATTTCGTTTCCATGGTGCTGTATATTTCTTCTTGACACTAACTAAGGAGCCTTTCAGTTCCATGACTAGAAGTGTAGAACTGAGGGCATGCATCAATAGTTTTTCATTTGTCAAATTAGTAATGTAATCTCCTAGTTGAAGAAAATTGTTAATTATCATCGATTTTGCAGAATGAATATTCTGAGCAGTGGGCACTAGCATGCGGAGAGATACTGCGAATTTTAACTCACTATAATCGTCCAATATACAAAGTTGAGCGAAAGCAAAGTTCAAAAGATTGTACCACCAGTATAAATAGTGCTACTTGCAGCAAAGCTTCTGTTGCCAAACCGTCTTGTTCTTCTTCTGCTCATAGTGAAAAGAGACCTTCAAGGCCTTTGTCCCCTTGGATTACTGACATATTACTTGCAGCCCCTCTTGGTATTAAAAGTGATTACTTTAGATGGTATGTACTTCAGTTGAGTTCTTGAACGATTCAGTTACTCAGTTTTTGAATTAATGTGTAGTTTTTGTGAATTTGTACATTTGATTTGGATGCCTAGATTTGATGCATGTAGCAGATTGATCTCTAGATTTGAGCTTTACGTAAAATACTAACTTTAAAGTGAAAGTATGAGTTATAATTCTTATCATGTTTATATGTTAACAGATAATAGCTCAAGAAATTATTTTAAAAATTTCGGCCTTTCTTTGTAGAATATCTATATGAAAAATAATTTTCTTTCGGAAATGATAGAAAATTGATAGCTATTAATTTGAAAACTTAGATATGATGATATCAGATAACCATCACTTTCAGGGTTGGAGTTAAGATCTGATCTAATATTAGATATCAAGTTAATTATTGGCTTTTTTCCATTTTTCCTTTTTTTTTTTTTTTTTTTTTTTTTTTTTGGGGGGGGGGGGGGTGCGGCTGTGTGAGGGTTTTGCAGCTGAGTCATGAACATTCCCACTCATTTTTACAAACTGGATTTGTGTGTGTGTGTGGGGGTTGGGGAGGTTGACAAACCGGCTTTGGGTAAGAGTGTGGTTTGTGGGGGGGGGGGGGGAGATGGAGGAGATTATTGAGTGACTAGCATGCTACCTCAACCTGATAATTTTTGTTATCTGCTGTGCTCTTCCATTTGAATGGCTGAATGTTTGTCAAATTTGTAATGGGCATACATGATTTGTATGAATGTTGTAAGTGCTTTAATTTGAATTCGCTGGAAGTTTATTTGCATGGATGTACATGTAAATTAAATTATGTTTCCCTCCTGAATCTTTTGGAATAATTATAGGTGTGGTGGTGTTATGGGAAGGTATGCTGCTGGAGAACTCAAACCGCCTATGATTGGTAAGTCTCAAAGTTTTTTAGAAGGAGATCTCTTTTGAGATTTTCCTGTTTTTCTTTCCATCTTCAGTAAGTGCATTATTGTGACTCTTGAACTGGCCATGATTATGCTACTGAACACATGTATGGCTTATGTACCTACTGATAATTTGATATAATTAAATAATACAAGTAGATGATCCTGAAGCATGCAATATAATTATACAATTACCTTTTAGCTTGAAATAGTGATGGGGCTGTGTGGAAGTTGGGTCAATTAATAATTAATAACTATAGCAGCATTTGTGCCCCTTTCTGTTTGTTTCTGAAAATGTAAAAGTTAAAAATTAAGGTCTCTCTTCCAAGCTCATTAATCCATGCTGAATGATTTATCAAGCAAAACTACATGTATACACATTCTTTCACTATCTAATCTTCAGTCCTTTGCTTAGTTTGCTGGTGCTGAAGAAGCCATACATAAAATGATAAAAGTACTTATAAGAATTTTATATGATTTTTTTTCAAAAATTGATCCCACTTCGCTTTGTTTGCTGGTATATGCAGAGCAATGTTGAGAATAAGGAAAAAAAAAAAAGCTGATGAAAATTACTTTAAATTTTTTTGATACTTTTGAATGCCAAGTATTTTTTGTCCAACTCCAAACAGAGTTTAACAAAATTTTGCTTGAGATCATGGAATTAAAGCAAAACCTATTGCATGATACGCCAACTCTAGTTTTCTAAAGATTATATGTTTACGGGGCGTATTTTACAGCTTCTTTCTTTTGGCCAAGTTGAATAAAATTCTTAAACTTGATTCATGAAATAAAATACTCATTTGCTAAAACCATGCATCTAGGGCACAAACTAAAAAATAATTGTTACTGCAAAAAGATGATAGCAAAACAAAACATGTTACAGTTCTTATGTGTCCCGCACAAAGTTACAATTCTAGCTAACCAACTATTAAAACTAAAGCCCAAAACATGTTTGACTGGATTTTTGCATGACCTTTATACATTTCATAGAGTAACAAGAAAATCTTGTTTGCGGACAATTTTAATTCATCTAAGTGATTTTCTTGTTCACCAAATAATGAATGTTTTCCAATCGAATATACATTTGTCATTACAGTTGTACATTTTTTTTATCTATAAAATTTGTCATTACAGTCTTTACAAACAGTTTCATAGTAAATTGTGAGACATAACACCAAGAACAAGCATAATTTACTAGCCTAAAAATTTACCAGGTTAAGCTTATTGAACATGATAATTATTCAGGTTGTCAAATGCTGTGTTCCCTGCCTTTTAAAACTATGAGTAATCTCTTATGAATAGTGTTGAGACTATTATGCCCCTAAATATGTTTATTTACATATTTACCCCTTTTAAAAGTATGACCACACTTTGTGAATAGTGTTGAGACGATTATGTCCCTAAAATATTTATTTACATATTTGCCCTCATTAATGTTAATTGTTTTTTTTAACTCTTAAAAATAACATGTGGACATTTATACCCCTAAAAATATCCGTTTACATTTTTTCCCCTAGTTAACGCTAATAACAATGCCAAATCAAAAGAACTTCTGGATATGGCTAGCTATGGTGCGTGCGTTGGCCGCCCTAGTTATATACAAAATTTACATTCAACATCATTCATTCTCCTGTCTCATGCATATCCTTTTCTCCCTTCTAATGCATCAGCCTACCTTCCTCTCTCACTCATAGCTCCATCACTAGGGCGATGAAAGAGTATTTGATACCATTACCTACCTAGAATGGAACAAAAATAAATTTATTATATTTTCCATCTGTCCTATTTTGAGTTTTAACAGCAGCCAAATAATGGCTAAAGTTGACGTACTCTAATGTTTGTTGCATGGATTTTCCTTTGGCTAGTAGGAGAGTCCTTGCAATGAAATGTGATTAAGTTTTAACTGTATATCAGCTAGGTTAAAATCTTCACCTAATAATTGAGGGATAGGAGTGTCTTCTATTGTAATCTTTATCTCTTCTATTGCTGTGAGAAGTACCTTAGCAAAACATGGAGTAAGTTCTGGCTACCTTTCCTTCCTGCAGCTTCTTCTCGTGAAAATGGGAAGCATCCTCAGTTAATGCCGTCAACTCCTCGTTGGGCTGTTGCAAATGGTGCTGGTGTTATATTAAGTGTCTGTGACGAAGAAGTCACGCGATATGAGACTGCTAGTTTAACAGCTGTTGCAGTTCCTGCCCTTCTGCTTCCTCCTCCAACAACAGCTTTGGATGAGCATCTAGTTGCTGGTTTACCTGCACTTGAACCATATGCACGTTTGTTTCATCGGTAAATTATTGACCTAAGAACTCACTGATTGATTCCTTTTTAGTACAATTTTCTTTTAATATTTATCTGGTTTTCTTTTTTTCCTTTAATTGCAAAAGGTATTATGCAATCGCTACACCAAGTGCCACTCAGAGATTGTTGCTTGGACTTCTTGAAGCACCACCATCATGGGCTCCAGATGCACTTGATGCTGCAGTACAACTTGTGGAACTTCTTCGGGCAGCTGAAGATTATGCAACTGGAATGAGAGTAAGATCACGTTCCATATGACTGTACCTACTACACATGATCTTATTTGTCTTCCATTGTTCTGGTGATGCGATGGACTCCATTACTGTTTTCCTAAACTTGGTTGTTGGTGACTTTTAATTATTCTTATCCAAAATGATAAACGCTGCCATGCTGGAATTTTATAGAATAAATATATATTTTTTCATAAATATGGAATTAGATATTAGAGTTTTCTTAAACAAATAAAAATATATTACTAATAGTTTATGAGGATGTACTCTTTAAGAGGCGTTTGGTATGAATATTAGAAACGGAATGGAAAGGTAACAAATAAAAGAAGGGAAAGGAATCATTTAACCATTACCTTTTCATTTGTTTGGTTTAACCATGGAAAGGAATCACTTAACCTAACTTTCTTTGTTTATGTTTGAGGAGGGTAAGGGTAATTGTTACCTTAGATTTTGGAGAGGTAATAAATAGGTGGAAACCATTACCCTAAAGTAATGGCAATTGTTTCTCTAACCTTCTAACCGTTGGTAATGGTAATGGTTTGATTGATTCCGTTTCCAAGCAAAAAAAGCTCTTACGAAACATGATCTAAGTAGATAAGAAATCTTGTCAAGGGGTTGGTACATAATGCACTTGCTATGCCGTAAACTTATAAGCAATGGCTCCCTGACCAATATTGTGATTGCGGTTATATATATCTGTGATCTCATTGTGATTGTCAATATGGGGTGTATGCACATTTATACCTTACTTTAGTTGTTTCAATCATTGCTACACACAGCAGTGGATGACTTAAATTGCTGTTGAGGACGAAAGTCCAAAGTAGAAATCATTTTGTCTTGTATTTGATGATTTAGCTTTTTTCATGACCATGCGAGTTAGATTAATTTTGACCTCTAGATAAGAGGATGAAGTGCTCATTATTTTCTTTGTTATAATCATAGTTGTAACAGTGAGATCGACAATTCTTCTTCATTTGTTGATTAAGCTGTGGCTTGAATTTCTTAAGTTATTTCCCCTTCGAATTGTTTTCACACCATTTTGCTGATGGTAAAATCAACTGTAGTGCACAAGGCTGAGTATTATGCTAGGCACCTAAATAAAATTTGGTTCGTAAAGATAAAGTTCTACTTAATCCCCCCCCCCCCTCCCAATGACACGACTTATATATTTTGGTCTTCTGAATTATCTGATCAGAATAGAATTATGTACTTTTTAGAAAGAATTGTGCATAGACTTGGAAATTCCCCTCATCCGCAGCCTACTACTCTAATAGTTGGAGAAAGCATAAGGCTCCGACACCTTTGTCATTAGATCTCCCCAGAAAGCCCTATAATTTACTCAAATGTTGGGGTTACAAACTTTGTGTGAGTTCTGTGTCTTTTGATAGGCTTAAAATTTATGATAATTCTGTAAACTTGGTAATGTTAGAAAGTGCATTTTCTCCAAATGGAGAGTCATCTTTTACTGCTGCTTGAGTTAGCTAAATGCATTTGGAGTAGGCTGATTACGGTAGTGAGTATTGTGAGGGTCATCTCCATTTAATTTATTATTTGTATACGCAATTTGTGAGATTTGGGTGAAAAGGGGGCTAAATAGTAATCCAGTTGTATCAATAAAGGACTCCTCTATTGATGCATAAATTCCTTTTAACTTATTGAATTCAGGTTCTCTCATCTTGCCCAAATCCAACCTGTTATACAATACCACTTTGTGCTATAGATTGTTTAAATGTGTCTGTAACGCGCAGCATCCAGACATTACCCTCTATGTTAGTCTTTGTGTTTGTGTCATACATAATTGTTGTCTCATATATTCTGAATCCAGTCATTAACCTCTTATGTTAGTCTTTGTGTTTGTATCATACATAATTGTTGTCCTAAATATCCTGCATCCGGTCATCACCCTCTTTGTTAGTCTTTGTGTTTGTATCATACATTCGCTCATAATTGTTGTCCTAAATATCCTAGTATCCTGTCATAAAGGACCTGTATACTACATATACCTGCTAACTTGAATTTTGGAGGATGAAAGTAAAGTATGATGGCATAAGCGCAGTGCTTCAATAAAATCACTTATAGTGAGCACGTTGAATCACTTGGAAGTTCTGAACAAAGGTATATAAGTTGTATGTGCAGTTGTGCACGTCAACAAAGTTTCTATAACTCTATAAGGAAGTTTCTTGGAGTGATACTAATGCCCTTTTTAAAAAATTGTGCAAAATTTCCCTTGGTATTATATGGTTTCTTCAGCCTCTTTATTTTTTCTTTGGGTATGTAATGCTTTAACTGGTATGTGCTGCAATCGAGACATGTCAATTCGATGTATGTGGGCTTCTTTAGCTGTCAATGCTACTTCTTATCTATGTATGCCTTACTTTTGTGCAGTTACCAAGAAACTGGATGCATCTACATTTTCTGAGAGCTATTGGCATAGCAATGTCTATGAGAGAAGGTATTGCCGCTGATGCTGCAGCAGCATTGTTGTTTCGTATACTTTCTCAGCCTGCCTTGCTTTTTCCACCATTGAGACAAGTTGAAGGGGTTGATGTCCAGCATGAACCTTTGGGTGGTTATATCTCATGCTACAGAAAGCAGGTAATATATTTATCTTAATTTGGATGACCCAGGGTGGTGTTGGTTTTTTTTTTTTTTGGTGGGGGGGGGGGGGGGGGGGGGGGGGGGGGTGGGGGGGGGGAGAGTAAAAGAGGAAGAACATCTGGTGAATAGTTTTCTAAAATAGTGTCTACATTGGTAATTATTGTATTCTTCCAAACATCCCATAATGTATCATAGAACCTCGTCTTCCTTGAAGATACCGTCTGATTGTCTTGACTGGGGCTCTTTTTTTTTTTTTTTTTTTTTGTTACCAGATAGAAATGCCTGCTGCTGAAGCTACTATTGAAGCCACTGCACAGGGCATTGCATCAATGCTTTGTGCCCATGGTCCAGAGGTGGAATGGAGAATTTGTACCATATGGGAAGCTGCTTATGGTTTGATACCGTTAAGCTCTTCAGCTGTTGATCTTCCTGAAATAATAGTTGCTACACCATTGCAGCCCCCCCTATTGTCATGGAACTTGTACATACCTCTCCTTAAAGTATTGGAGTATCTGCCTCGAGGAAGCCCATCCGAAGCATGTCTTATGAAAATATTTGTGGCTACTGTTGAAGCAGTTCTACGGAGAACATTTCCGTTTGAGTCATCTCCGGAAGAAAATCGAAGATCAAGATACAGTTCTGAAGCAGGCCCAGCATCCAAAAACCTAGCTGTGGCCGAGCTCCGCACCATGGTTCATTCATTGTTCTTGGAATCATGTGCTTCCGCAGAGCTTGCTTCTCGATTGCTATTTGTGGTGCTAACTGTCTGTGTTAGTCACGAAGCTCACAGAAATGGGAAAAGTTCGAGGGGTGAGGATAACTATGCTGAACACACTACCAAACACTCAGAATCAAGTCAATCCAGCCCTTCAAGATCAAGGAATTCTAAGAGACAGAGAGAACCCAGAAGTAAGAAATCCAAAAAACAAGGTCCTGTTGTGGCATTTGATTCTTATGTGCTGGCTGCTGTTTGTGCTCTATCCTGTGAACTTCAGCTGTTTCCTTTGATTGCAAGTATGTCTGATCCTTCAATTTCTAAAGATTCGGCTAATATTGCCAAGCCTGTCAAATTAAATGGTACATCTCATGAATTCAAGGAAGGTGTTGACTCTGCGGTCCGTCATACTCGTAGAATTTTGGCAATTCTGGAAGCTTTATTTTCACTGAAACCATCAACTATTGGCACATCATGGGGTTACAGTTCAAATGAAATAGTTGCTGCTGCTATGGTTGCTGCCCACATTTCTGAATTATTCAGGCAATCAAAGGCTTGCATGAATGCCCTATCTATCTTAATGCGTTGTAAATGGGATAATGAAATTCACACCAGGGCATCTTCACTTTATAATCTAATTGATATCCACAGAAAAGCAGTTGCATCTATTGCCAACAAGGCAGAACCACTAGAAGCTCATCTATCCCAAACACCAGTGTGGAGGGGTCCACCAATTGTTGCCAATCGAAGAAAACAAAATGATTGTGGAGGGACTGTCTCTTTTCAATCAGAAGTGCCATCATCACTAATATGTGAAGATTCTTCCCATTCAAAGAATTTACTAAATTGTGGGAAGGCTATATACACAGACAATGATGCTGGAAATATAGCGGGTAAAAGGGTTGCGAACTTCCAATTTGATGCCTCAGATTTGGCTCATTTCCTTACTATGGACAGGCATATAGGTTTAAATTGCAGTGTACAAATTTTTCTGCAATCAGTACTTGAAGAGAAACAAGAACTTTGCTTCTCAGTTGTTTCACTCCTTTGGCACAAGTTGATTGCATCACCTGAAACTCAACCTAGTGCAGAAAGTACCTCTGCACAGCAAGGATGGAGACAGGTATGCATGTCCAAATTCTACAATAATAAGTCTCTGTTTTAAGTAGAAGAACTTGGATACTATTTGTCAGAAATTTATCTTCTCAGTTCCCTACCGACTCTATATTATTACTTCCCTATTCTGCATCATTATCTCCCATGTCACCTTATAACTACCATTTACCTCATCAAGTTTGTTTCCGTGATGTGAATTTTCACTTGTTAGCCTGCGTTACCTTTTTTTTTTTTTTTTTTTTTTTTTTTTTTTTTTTTTTGAGTAAGCATGCGTTACCTTATTTAGCAGTACAATGCAAAATAAAATTTTCGAAATTAGTATGCGATATTAAAATTATATCAACATAGTGATAACTTTTCTATATGGATTGCCCTTCCATCTTACATTTTGTTGATACAGGTTGTTGATGCACTATGCAATGTTGTATCTGCATCACCCGCTAAAGCAGCAGCAGGGATTGTTCTTCAGGTTCAATATCTACTCCATTGCTATGCATTTTAAAAAAATAAAATAAAATTGATTTGGACAATAGAAGAGTGGGGCCAAACTCACCAATATTCTGTTGCCTGATATTTAATTAGGCATTTTTAATATCCTAAGATTCCTATCAAAAATATTAAATTTATGGGTGTTGAACATGCCTCAAATTATGATCTTGTTCGATACAAATACATTTTATTTAGTAACCTTTTTTTATTTTTATTTTTTTATTTTGGTCAGGCTGAAAGGGAGTTACAGCCCTGGATTGCCAAGGATGATGATCAAGGACAGAAAATGTGGAAGATTAACCAGCGAATTGTAAAGCTAATGGTGGAATTGATGAGAAATTATGATACCCCCGAATCACTTGTCATACTGGCAAGTGCTTCAGATCTTCTTTTGCGTGCGACGGATGGGATGCTTGTTGATGGAGAAGCTTGCACTCTTCCTCAGTTGGAGGTAAAAAATCGGAAAGTTCTGAAGATTAAAAAGCCTGCTTTCACTTGCTTTTATTTCCTTTTTTCCCATTATCTTCATTAAACCTATGTTTCAATAAACTTATGTTTCATTTTACTCGTTACTATGTTATTATGTTTCAGAAATCGTCTTGTGCTGTAATTATGAATACTATTAAAACTTTCAAAGTGTAGTGATATCTAGGAAGTGCATACAAACAAAGACTTATGTGACATAGTAAAAATTGGGTGGTTTTTGCTGTTACATCTAAGAGATGCAAGAATTAGTAAGATGATTATAATATTAAACTGTAATGTCTGATGAACTTTATTGTATTATGCTGACTTTTTGACAGCTGCTAGAAGCAACTGCCAGGGCAGTTCAATCAGTGCTGAAATGGGGAGAGTCTGGATTAGCTGTTGCAGATGGCCTCTCCAATCTTTTAAAGGTATAAGTTTACCTAGATTATTTACTTCAAACGGATATGATGCACTCAAGGAAAAGTTACATGATTTCAATTTTTATTGATAGCTTATGAATGGGATCGTACCCTTGCCCCCAGGAGAAAGACATTGTGCCTTGTTGGAGGATCTATTTTGAGTTTTTGACCGATTATGTTTGCTCCTCTTTGCAGTGCCGCCTACCAGCTACTATAACATGCCTCTCTCATCCAAGTGCACATGTCCGTGCTTTAAGCACTTCTGTTCTCCGAGATATACAGCAGAACGGATCTGTAAAATTTGGTTTTCAACAAGAAAATAGAAATGGTATCCATGAGTCTCCCTTTCAATACTTGCATTTAGGGATCATTGACTGGCACACAGATATTGAAAAGTGTTTGACGTGGGAGGCTCATAGTCGACTAGCACGAGGAAAGACTATTGAGTATCTTGACACGGCAGCCAAGGAACTAGGGTGTACAATAACCATCTGACATCCTTTTTACTATCTTCTCAGTTCCTACTCTGTTATTTGTTTGAGAAAACAGAGGAAAATTTAATCCTGACAGCCATTCAGGCAATTGATTCGTAGGTGGATAGGTCTTCTAGCACAATGATGTAAAACTCGTTTCATTTGTAGTCCAATGTGCTAGTATATCCAAGTAAAATGCTACATGTATTGTGAGACGGGGTGACACAGCAACGAGGTAATCATAGTCTCAACCAATACCTGCTTCGCTGCAGGTTAGATTTGTCTCTAGGTGACTTGTTATCAAGGAGAAAAACTAGGAGTCAGAAGGGAACATTTCCTTCAACAGCCACGAGCCAATTACATTGTTATTTCCTCAGTCGTGTCTCACTCCGTTGTAAAATATGGCCATGAAAAGAGAGTTCAAGAACCATTTGTGGCAGGGTAAAAATGGCAAGTAGTTGTATAAATACAGTTAATATGGTGTCTGACTTTCTTTTTTTCATTTTTTCCCACTGTTAGTAGCACATGAACAATTCTGTATGGAGTTGATACGAGAGTACCAAGTAATTTGATGTCTTCTCAAATTTAATTTCTATGCCTAATTAAAGTACTTGTATAATAGTGTGATTTACAATGAAGCACGCCACATCCCTGTTGGTATGTATTCTTCTTGTGTTCCATCCAGCTTAATCTACATTCTCATTCAGACGACAATGAATTTAGTGAATGATGAGGTCCTTGCCAAAAGGTTCTGGGTTTGCTGAGAATTGACTACAACTACAAGGAAGAGCTATTAAAAGCCGCCAATAAATTTAAGGAAAACTCATACGATAGTTTTTCAAATATGGATTCGGGGCTAAAATAGAAGTACGGGTCTTTTACTATCCTAGCTCTTCTCAGTTTGTTAGGTCATAATTTTGCTTTTGCCTTAAAGAGTCAAAGTTCAGTGGATTCCATTTATTGATAAGAAAAGCATATTCATGTGATATTTTGATAAATAGGTTCATTAAAAGACACTTTGTATATTTTCAATATATATATATATATATATATATATATATATATATATATATATATATAAAATTAATGCACAATTTTCAAAAAAAAAAAAAAAAGTTCACAATAAAAAATGTTTGTTTTAGATATCGTAAAACAAATGGGTGTAAACAATAAGGGTGGAAGGAAGTACAAATTAGGAGAAATACAACTTTTTGGTTAGGATGAAAAGATGGTTTGGTGGCTCAAATGGAAATAGGTGGGTGAGCTTAAAGTTGTAGAGTTTGTGGGATATCACTGATTAGAAAATCTTACGTACGAGTAATTATTAGTAGAGGAAAACAAAGAATGAGAGTGAGGTTGAGAGGAACCATTCACAGTAGGAATTGGGAGGAGAGTTAGCAACCTTAAAGATCGGGAGATGCTCCGGCTACTTGAATTATTGAGAAAGAAAAAGGTACGACGATTATGATGAAGGCAATAGAGAATTCATTGCAGTGTGAATATTCTGCTCTTGTGACATACTTATAAGTTGCCATTTTATTCTAATGATATGATTGATGAGTTGCTAGTTGCTAGTAGCTACATCTCAACTGCCATTACAATTAGCATTAACTTTACCGACAAAAGAACAGTCTGCCTATCTTACTGTAAATAAATGGATTCAAACTTGTTTTATTTAAGGATTTTTTTGAAAATAACACCACAAATTTTACAAAAAATGGATTATAACACCACATAATCTCAAACTTTGATTATAACACCACAAAAAAATCCAAAAATTGGATTTCACCACCTTCTAACTGAATTTTGGATGAAATCCGTTAGTGGGACCCAAGATAGACACGTGGCAATAAGACATTGGTTTAAAAAATAAAGGTAAAAAAAAATTAAAAAAAAAAAGAAAAACACCCTATAACCCAGCCACTAGCCCACCACCGGCGGCCGCGACTCCACAGCCGGAGACTCATACTGACGCCGACAACCCTTCCTTCACCGTTGAAATCACCGCCCATCATCCCCACCCACCACAGCCCCCCTCCCCCCCGCGCAAATCCCACCAATCAGTCCATGCAAACCCTTACCACGAACCACCGAAAACCACCCATGTCGTCGCCTCACAGCAAAATCGACCTAGCTAGGGATTCAAAAGTGGTTTTCGACCGGTTTGAAGGTGAAGCGGAAGTACAGGGGTGGTTTTTCGAGGAGGAATCGAAGTGGCTGGGAGGTTTCGGCTGGGTTAGGTTAGGTTTCGGCTGACGGTGGTTTGGCGACGATGTGGGCTGGGGTTTCGGCTAGTTTAGGTTGGGGTTTCGATGGTGTGGCGACGATATCGGAGGTTTCGGGGCAGGGTATGGTGACGACGGTGGTTCAGCGACGGTCTCGGAGCTTCAGGGGTTAGGTTTGGGTGACGGTGGTGGGAACCCACCGGCGGTGGTGGCTGGTTTAGCATTATAGGATTTTTCTTTTTTTAAATTTTTTTTTTTATCCAATAAATGAGTGACTTGTGTCAAAAGTGAGCCCCACTAACGGATTCTTGGATGGAATCCGTTAGTAGGTGGTGAAATCTACTTTTTTGATTTTTATGTGGTGTTATAATACAAATTCGAGAAAAGGTGGTGTTATAATCCATTTTTTTCAAAATATGTGGTGTTATTTTCAAAAAAATCCTTTATTTAAAGTAGGGCGGCTAACGCGCGCGTTGCGCGCGGAATGGCTAACCATTTCGAGTTAGCTTTTTTCAGCTTGTGTTTAGGAATGGCAATATCCATTTATCACATGTATACGTAATTATCACAAGTGTAGCTAAAACTTGGCAGTGTTTGGGTGGAACAACGATTACTTTAGTTGTGGACGATTACTGTTTTACATTATGTGTTTAAAATAAGTGTTTTTTTTAATAAAGCCTTACGAATTTAGACCATAGTTTTAAGGTTTATTGGAATAACTAAAGCATCTAACCTAACGCATAATATTCTTCAACCATAACCTTGAAAATGTTACAAACAAAAGGTTCAAAAGCAACAATTACAACCAAACATTGAGCACAATATGTTGTATGTGGTAATGTTCTTGTATGAAGAAACACTGTGTACTTATTCATGTTGTAGCTAAGTTGTTCTAGTAGAGTCTAGGAAAAGGAAATGGCTTTGATAGTCCACTTTAGAACCCGAAGTCTAGTTAGGGATGTTGTTGATGTAATCTAAACGTACAGTAGCTTGGTTGCCAAGGTGGTAGTTATTACTTCAAATTCTTGTTAGTCGCCCTGTGAAATAATGCATTGAACAATACTAACCTTTTTTTTAAAGGTGAAGGAGATATTAAGATGAAGGAGAAATAGGAAAGCCAAGTATATAAATTGTTGGAATTATAAAAGAACTATCAGTTTCCTAAAAAAAATAGTTACAAACTCTAGCAATTCTTGAGCTTGGTTTTAATTAGAATTTAATTAGAATTGAATTGATAATAGGAAATGAATGCACGGAATTTGAAAAGAGTTACAATTATTGTTTATGGGAATAATTATTGCAAATTATTTTTAAGTACGGAGTACTATTTTAATCTTCCTATGACAGATTGATAACGTAAAATGTTGTGCAATAAATTAAAAATATAGCCTCCATTGAGCTAATGAAAAGCTTTTTCACATTCATCATCTTTATTGCTGGTCAATTATTACTTTTGGGTTGTGCTTCATCTTCTTTGGGTTTTCTTCAGGGATGGTCAATTATTACTCATTAATGGGTAGGGATTATAAAGGGGTAAGAATGTAAATAAACATTTTGAAGGGCAAAAAGGTCCGTGCACTATTCACCAGATTTGTTACTAATTAATACGGAGTATTAAAAAAATTAACACTTACTTTCAAAAAAATAAACACTTACCTTTTCTATGTAGTTTTAATACTTTCTCTCTCAACTTGTTTACAAATCTCATACTTCTTCGGTTCTTTTTTACTTGACCCGTTTTGATTTTTACACTATTCACCACCCCTCTTTTAATCGTGTTTTGTGAATAATATGTAAGGAAAAACATATGTTGGATCATTTTGAATTCGTCTCAATAAGTACTATCATAATATTTAACTTTTATATTTTTTAATTATGGAGAATTAAAGTTATTGACCGTTAAAGTTTTGCATTGACAAGCGTGATAAAAGAAACAGGTAAAGTAAAAAAGAACAGAGGAAGTATAAATTTACCTTTTTTTTTATGCAAATGTGGGTCAAGCCCTCTTATTGAATTGAAAACAAATATAATCAGGCAACAAACCGTGGCCAGGCCACCCCAACAACATCCTCCCTTAGAAGATTTTTTATTTCGATCGGAGGAGTATCGAAATAAATAATCTTCTCTTCTTAGATGGCTCCCAAATTGGCAAGCCGGTCCGCTACCCTATTACCCTCTCTGAAACAGAAAACAAAATTAACGGAACAATTGAAAGAACTAATTAATCTACGGCAAGAAGCGAGCACGTGAATGTATTCTCCTCCTTGATCACCACCATTGCTGAGGGCTTCTACACAGGCCTTGTGTCCATTTGCAATACTAAGATAGCTTCGAAATTCCCATATTTAATGCCATTTGTAAGCCTATTTCAGCAGCAAGGAGTTCAGCTCTGTAAGCACCACAAACTCCAAAGTTGGCTGTGAAGCATTTGATGAAATTACCGCAACAGTCACGAATTATGCCTCCCCCACCTGCAAATCCAGGGCTGCCCTTTGCTGCCCCATCAGTGTTTAGGAAAAAATAATCCAAAGGCGGAGCATTCCATCTTATCAGCACTTTCTTTCTACTTGCAGTCGCATTACCAGACAGTCCAACAACATTAGCACTCCCTGACATTGCATTCCAAGTAGTATCTGATTGAATTCTAATGAAAGAACCCATGTCGCTTGGAATATCTTTCGAGTTGCCAAACATAATAGAGTTCCTCCACCTCCAAATACACCACAAAGCCGTGGCGAAACAGGTTTGCCATTTTTCAGAATGAATTAGTTCCCCTCCCTTCAAATTTCGAATTAACCAAGCACTGAAATTGCCTGTGAAAAAAGATGAGTAAAGTGTTGTACTTCCAATGCTTGCCCAAATAGACTTCGTAGCTGGACAATCTCTTAACAGGTGGAGCAAAGTTTCATCAGAATTAAGCTCGCATCTCTTGCACCTAGGGTCATTTGTGAGGTGTCTAAATTTTTTGTTGGCATTGCATAACATCCTATTATGGAAAAGCAGCCAAAGAAATACTCTAATTCTCTGATGCAAAGGAGTTTTCCAGGCTAGTTCCCATTTTGGATCTTTTGTAACCAAGTCATCATCATTGATCAGTTGCATAGCATACTTTACAGAGAACCCCCATGCTTTGGCACCTTTCCAGTAACGAACATCCTCCAGCTCAGGGTCATTAATTACTTTATGAGCAGCTATTCTCTTCAAAGCATCAGAAGGGAGCAGATCAGCAATGCTATCCCACTTCCAGCCCTGCTCCTCATCCCATAATTCACCTACTATAGCTCCCTCAATATCTTCCGTAATTTTACCTACAACAAGCTCACGAAGAGGCACTTCCGTGGCCCATATGTGATCCCAAAAAAGAGTTGAGCCCCCATTCCCGATAGCTACTACAGAACCCTTCTTAATCCAACCTGCATTATCTGTTATTCCACGCCACACATTGGACATGCTTGAGGTGGGAATAAACATGTCGATATCGCATTGACCTCTGCAATTCTTGTGTCTGAGAACTCTAGACCATAAAGCCGTAGGTTCGTTAAGCACGCTCCACCCTAGCTTTGTAAGAAAGGCAGAATTAGCTTGTCTGGCAGACCGGATACCCAACCCCCCTTTTTCTTTGGGTAATTAAAGGGTATTCCACGAAATCAAGTGAATTCGGGATTTTTCTTCATCACCACCCCAAATAAATCTTCTAGTCTCCCGATCAATGTTATCACATACTGAACGAGGAATCTTTGCAGATTGCATAGAGTAGTTGGCCATAGTAGTGATGGTTGATTTGGCCAGCGTAATGCGTCCCGCAAGAGATAAGTACTTTGATTTCCACCCAGATAAATGACGGTCATTCTTTTCACATAAATGAGCATAGGTTTGTTTGGTTACTCTACTAGTTAATGTAGGCATACCAAGATACAAGCCTAGATCTTCTGTTATCTCCATGTCTAACGCTTCACTTATGCCCTGCTGTGTCTCTGAGCCAACATTCTTTGAGAAATAAATTCTCGATTTAGGCAGGCTCACTTTTTGACCTGATGTTGCACAGAATCTGTCCAGGCAATCCCGCACTACCTCAGCTTGTTCGATGGATGCCTCTGCAAACAAAATCAGATCATCGGTGAGGAATAGGTTCGACAAAAGAGGCCCTCCCCTGCTAGCATACACTGGTTTCCATTTTTTTTACAATTATTGCTTCTTCTATCACTTGATTCAACCGCTCCATGCAAATAACAAATAAGTACGGAGAGAGTGGATCGCCTTGCCTGATACCCCGGGTTGGATAAAAGGCCTCTGTCTTCTCACCATTCCACAAAATACTCATAGAAGGGGAAGAAATGCATTCCATAATCACCTCGATCATGCGAATAGGGAAGTTCATCTCCATCAAAGTATCACGAATGAAAGCCCACTTAAGCCGATCATAGGCTTTTTCAAAGTCTATTTTTATTGTCATGTATCCTTTTCCTCCCTGTTTCTTCTTCATAGTGTGCAAAATCTCCTGAACGATGACTATGTTGTCTGTAATTTGGCGCCCGGGAACAAAACTCGATTGAGTGTTGGCAATCATTTTAGGTAGTAGGGGCTTGATACGATTTACTATGGCCTTGATAATGATTTTGTATGCAACATTACAAGGCCGATAGGGCGGAATTGAGAAGCAGCTTCTGGATTATCTACTTTCGGTAGGAGAACCAGATAAGTTTCATTCAAGAATTCTGGAAGTCCCTTTCCCTCTAGCACATCCCTTACCAACTCATACACATTCGGAGAAACAATCTCCTAGTTCTTTTGTTAAACAAAGCCTGAAACCTCTCTGGCCCCAGGGCTTTAAGGGAGCCCATATTCTTGACAACATACTCAATATCACAATTAGTGTACGGTCTGTTTAAGCTTTCCCAGTCAGAGTTGTTTAAAGCCGAGAAAACACCAGTAGGAATATCATGAGTACCCTCGAATCCATCATCTGTGTATAATTCTGAAAAATAGGACACCACCTAATTTTTCACACGCTCTTGATCAAGGATCAATTGTCCATCAGCATCTTTGATTGCGACTATTTTATTTCTCCAACGTCGCACCACTGTGCTAAGCTGGAAAAATGTAGTGTTGCGGTCTCCATGTTGTAGCCAATCTGCACGAGCTTTCTGGTACCACAACATTTCTTCTTGGTTCAAAACCAAGTCTAACTCCCTTCGCATTTCAGCCTCTTGCTTCAACAAACCCGAATCTCTTCCCGAAGCTAGAGCGATTTGAACTCCCTGAATCCGAGCCAAAAGAGTCCTTTTTTCTCTAAAAATATTGTGGAATACTTCCTTATTCCACTCTTGAAGATCAGTAGAGAAGGACTTTAATAAGTTCATAAGAGGGATATCAGTTCTCCATTTTTCAGTGAGAAAGTCAGAGAACTTTTCATGAGAAAGGCATGCTGCCTGGAAGCGAAATGGACGGTTCATGACTTCTAGAGGGGAAAAGCCATTCGAAGAAATAAGTAAAGGGCAATGGTCCGTTTGAATGGCTGGCAAGTTTTTCACCCAAGCCTTATCAAAGCGCAGTCCCCACTCTGAATTACAAAGAGTTCTGTCGAGTCTCGCACTCTTCCTGGTAGCCATAGAATTACCTCTAGCCCAAGTATGAGGTGAACCCGAAAACTCAACTTCAATTAGTTGTGATTGTTCCACCCAATGATTAAAACGTTCACTCCTCCTTGAAGTATCAACACTACTAGAGTTTCTTTCCCATCCAAATCGAGTGTCATTAAAATCGCCGGCAAGTAACCAAGGTTTATTATTGGTCCTTGCAAAATTAGAGAGTTCTTGCCATAAATCTTGACGCTTGGAAGGGTCGGGACTTGCATAAACAGAAGTGAAATACCAAGGTTCCTCCCCTCTACGAGAAATAGTCATAGTGATGTATTGATTCGACTTTGTAATGGGGTCAATGGTTACTAGTTCCGGCTTCCAGTAAACCCAAATTCCCCCACTGAACCCTTGGGCATCCACTCGAGTATGACCATTGTAATCAAGCATTGAAGCAATCTTCAAAGCTTGTTCTCCACCCATATGAGTTTCTACTAGAGCAAAAACAATAGGTTTATTAATCCGAATAACTTCACGCAAAGCTGCTAAAAAATCTCTACTACCGGCTCCTTGGACATTCCAAACCAAGCACGTGATTGGAAAGGACTCAATACCTCCAATGTTTGAACTATTCATGGGAAACACTTTATTGGGGAATTTTGACTTGAAAGAATCTTGGATATGCTTCATAGCATGTCTAATTTCCAATGGTAACTGCAATGTCACCATTAGCTCTAGATTCTCCGAGCTCGACACCCTCCATGAGTGTATCTCCATCTCCAATTTGTGAGTCAGGGGCTTGCTATGCCCATGTAAGGATCTGTGGGCATGGTCAAGCATATTATTTTCTTCGGTGGAATAGAAAGAGTCACTGTGTTCGGGAGTGGCAGAGACATGGGTAATACTGTTGGGAATTTAGCTTGCTTGTGGGGGCTTATTTGTGTGCACGACAGAGGCAGTAGGGTTGGCTTGATCACTGGCTTGAGATATCTTTGTGTTATTTTCCTTTCCAAAATTACTTAGAGGAAATTTCGGTGCTTGCGATTGGCTTGACATTTCATTAGTTTTATCTTGTAAGATATTTTTTGGGAAAAAAAATTATCTTGTTTCCTGAAATCCTTCTCTTGCCTAGAAAGCTGTTGAGCAAACCCTTGAGATGAGGAACTCAAATTATTCTTGCCAATCTTAACAGAGTTATCTTTGGAGACAATATTAATTGGTTGAGAAAATTTGCTCAAATCTACTGTTTCCACATATGACTCAGTCAAATTTGAATCATCCTTCCCCAAATTAACCTCATTCCCCTTATTTGGTTCTTCAATTTCCTGATTTTGCTCGTTTAGAATTAAAAATCTTGACCCCCCATGGTCAACCCGTTGACTCTGCTCCTCGTTTTGAATTTTCCCTGGTGGTGCTTTTTCCTTCACTGTAGGTTGTTTCTCCTGCCTTAGAGTTCTCTTCCTTGGTGGAGGTTTTTTCACTAACATCCATGCCCCATAATCATTGACTTCAACTGAGGGTTTGACAACAGGAGATTGATGATCAAGTTCCTGCTCCCTGCTTTGAACCTCAGTGCTTGAATCATTTGATTTCTTAGGACAATTGTTACCTTGATGACCAATCTTCCCACAATCAAAACAGATCATCTTCAGACCTTCATATTGAATTCTCCAGATTTTACCTTTGAGCCAGAATTTGGATAACAAAGGCTTACTCAAGTCAAGTTCAATACTTAGTCTCGTAAATTGACCTCTTTGGGCTAGAGCCGTGTTATTATCTATACGAACAACTTTCCCAATCTTGCTGCCTATCTTGTGAAGAAATTCCTTGTCAAAATAATCTATAGCAAAATGAGGTATTCTTACCCATGCAGTCAAGAACCTGATTGGAGAGTCATCAGGAATAAAATTCGGCATCCACTTTCAAATCGTTAAGTAGTTGTCATCCAGCATCCACGGACCTTGGGTGAGAACATGATTATAGTCTCCTAAATTGGAAAACGAGCGATGAAAAAATCGTGGCCAATATCTGTGAGAATTAATCCCCCTGTTAACTCCCATTTTTCTTTAACCTCTTCATCAGCGACATGTATCCAATTTTGCTATCATACATCTTAATGATCAATGTATGCTGCCAGGGTTTACGAATTCGTTGTTTTTCCTCTTTTGAAAGAAGAATAACAGGGCATTTGGGATCCTCTTCCATGTCCGGAGGTGGTTCATCATCATCCGAGACCTCCTCTTCCTCTTCATTATCCAGAAAATTAGGAGAACTCCCATTTAAATCAGAGTTACGAACCATGTCTCTGAAAGATAGATTCGACTGAATGTTTCTAATGTTCACATCCCCTTGGTTCAGAGGGGGGAAGGACACATTGGAAGCATTCACCTCCTTTTCGTGATCTTTATTAAAGATCAAATGAGTGATTTTTCTCTTAGGTTTCTTGTTTGAGCGAGAGATTTGATCTCTCTCTTCAGTGGATTGATCATGAGCACCAGATTTTTCGGCCATGGCTGAAAAGAGCATTTTCTTGTACTTGTTTGTGTCCTCCATTTCTCTCTCTATAAAATGATAAAGATTATAAATTTACCTTTTCAATGTACTTTTATTAGCTTCTTCATGCACTTTGTATCTCCCACTTAAGTTTCTTATTACCCCATGAAAAATGCCTAAAAGGGTCGTTATTTTTAGGGACGGAGGGAGTACTTAATTAACTAATTTAAAAATAAATAAATAAATAAATAATAATAATAATAATAATAATAATAATAATAATAATAATAATAATAATAATAATAATTTACAACTTGTGAGGGAAACTTTGGCTGAGGATTCTCCTCCTTTGTCGGTGGTTGATGATGAGTACCTTGATTTGGAAGAGCGTAATATCAAACAATGTCGTAGGAAGATTTGTGATGGCCATTATACCACTACAGTTCGGGTTCTTTCTTCTTCAGGTGTTGCTCTTAATGATGAGGCAACTCTTGCAGATTTACAATCAAAACACACTTCTTCTCCAGCTCCATCCTTGCCTGATATATTTGTTGATCACTTTCATCTCGTTACTACTTCTACTATTGTTTTGGATTGGATCAAGAGTTTTCCTAGTGACACATCATGTGGTAGGGACGGTTTACGTGCTCAACACCTTATCGATTGCTTGAGTGGTGTTGTTGTGGCTGTCTCAGATGAGTTAGTTGACTCTATTTCTGAGGTGGTTAATCTATTTTTAGCTGGAAGATGTCTTATGGAGCTTGGAGCGTATGTTTCTAGTGTTCTTCTCACACCACTTGTCAAGCCTAGTCGTGGTATTCGTTCTATAGTTGTGGGTACTATTTGGCGGCGTCTAGTATCGAAGGTGGGTGCTATTATAGTTGACCAGTCTTTGGGAGGTTACTTTGATGGTCTTCAATTTGGCGTTGGGGTTTCTTCAGGTGGTGAGGCAATTCTTCATGCTATGAATCGGTTGATTGAGGATCGTGGCCTGGTCTTGATGTTGGTCTTTCCATGTTGTTGGTGGATTTTCAAAATTCCTTCAATCTAGTTGATCGTGTGGTCATGTTATGTAAAGTTCGACGTCGTTGTCCGAGTATTTCGTGGTGGGTGGAGTTCTACTACTCTAATCCAACCAGATTGTATTATATATGAGGACCACACCTTATCGTCGTCTCAGGGGTGCAACAAGGTGACCCTCTTGGTCCTCTTCTTTTTGCTTTGGTTTAACAATGCCTGGTGTGTAAAATCAGAGATACTTTTGAGGTATGTCTTTGGGTGTGGTATTTAGATTTACGGTACTATCATTGGTGACACTTTGGTGGTACGGAATGTTTTGTTGTTGATTATGGAGGAAGGGCCTTGTAGAGAATATTTCAAGCATCCCACACTTGAGCCTCATTGTGATCACACACTTAAGCATGGTGGCGTCCAAAGGGAAGGAAGCTAGAGCAAAAGAGTCTCCAACAAGTTTTAGGAACTTGTAAACCATTCACGATTATAGAGATCGCTAACTCCATAGTGGTCCTGAACCATGACTGGATAATCGGGGATGAAGGTACAAATCCAACATAAAAGAGATTGAACCTGTAGGCCTCTATTTTGTTCTTCTCATATTCATGTGCGCTTTCCAATTAACATGTAATCAATATATTAACCCTAAACCTGTTTAATCTATGTTGGTTGATTATTAATGCACAAACAAATCTATTATTGGCGATCACTTGAATTGAATTAAAATCATATTAGCCTAAAATCAAATTATTAATTATCTTATTAAGTGTGATTTCAAGTACAAATTTCCTTTAAACCTGCAAAAGAAGGCATGATCAAGCAATAACAATAATATCAAGCAACATAATAATATTGACACAAAAATTATCATCATAACGATATTCTCATCAAAACATAATAATATTAGCAAGATCCTAGGCATGATACTAACAAGATTAATAACAAATCCTAGCATGTCACTAAAAATCAAGCTTTAGCCCTAACATGATATTGCATGGGAACATACATGATATTAGAAATATTAGTTAATCCCTAAACATGATACTAGAAAGTAATAAAAGCATCCTAACATGATATTGAGAATTAATAAAATAATCTAAGCATGATTCCTAAAGAAATAGAGCAATTGAATTACTCACTTTGTTGCCTTGTATCTCTTTCTATCAAAACAATACACATGTTAGTAACTTCAATGAAAATCTTAAATCAAACAATTACTTTAAATAATTGAAATAGAGATTTGAGACCAAACCCTCAGAAATATCAATCTTTCACGTTTAGGGCGAAGACAACTTCGAGCTTGGCTAGATGTGTCTAAGTCTCGTTATTGAGGTATATGGTGATCAAATCAAGAAAAATCAAAGGGATGTGTTTAATGTGTTTAGACTAGACTTAGAAAATTAAGAGAGAAAAAGAAAGAATAAGATTTAGCTTAGAGAGGGAGAAGAGATGATGATTGTGGGTGATAAAGCTTGTTGATGATTGAAAAAGGGGTGATATGACCTCTATTTATAGGGAAAAAAAGGGTCAAAAGAATAGAAAAGAATTTGAATTTGAATCGGAATAAAACTCTTTCGATTGACAACAGTTTTTATGATTTTTGTTTTTATCATATCTTTTTATCCAGAAATCAAAATAAGACAAATATCATTTCATTGGAAAGTTCTTGAAGTCTACTTTTTAACCCAATTGGAACCAGATTAAAATATTTTGTAGAATAAAAGATATGGACAAAATAGTAGGACGGTGTCAGTTTTGTATTTTTTTTATATCTTTTTGTTATAGCTCAGAATTAATATTATAATCACTAGTAGAAAAATAGTAATAGGCAGCGGTTCAAACCCGGTCTAAGGCACCGGTTTGAACCAGTTTCTATGTGGGGTGTGCCAATTACCCCCCTTTTTGGCACCGGTTCAAAACTGGTGCCCTAAACCGGTTTTGGCACCGGTTAACCGGGGCCTTTAACTATTTTTGCCACCGGTTAACCAGTGCCTTTAACTATTTTGGCCACCGGTTAACCGGTGCCTAAAATAAACTCCCGCTTATTTTTTTTTGGTGGCAGCTTAACCAGTACCTTTTCACTATATATATATATATATATATATGTAAATATTTTCCATTTTTCGTGAAATAATATTAAAAAAAAACCCTGTTTCCAGCAATAATAATAACATGTAACTTCAGCAATAATATTAAATAAAATAATTAATAATAATATTATTATAATTACTAATAATAATAATATTATTAAATATTATAATAAGATACAA